TTTGTTTGTTTGGTTTGGTTTCATAATTTAAAGGTAATAAGAAATGCACTTGATACGGTCTTGCACATAAGGGTGGCTGAGTTGGGCTCATTTTAATGCTGGATGTGTTCATGAGTGTCACAGAGGGGAAGTGTGTTGGAGAGAATTTGCCCATGTGTATGTGTGCGTGCGTGAGTGCATGTGTTTCTGTGTGCGTGTAGTGCGCTGGCTATGTGCATATGTTATACATGTGTATATGTGTCCACAGTGTGCCCATGCACACGGATGTGTACACAGTGCCCCCTTTTTGGTTTAGCTGTGGGGAGATCTGAATCTGGGGCCATTTGAAAGCAAAACCAAACCACTGTCTGCTTCTGAAACGGGAATCAGTAACTCTTTGCATTTTCTGTCCCACAAGATATGCAAAAACAATGCAATAATATTCATTTAAAAAATACAATTGTGAGTTGTGTTGGCATTAAAACTGTATTAAAAAAAAAAAAAACAAGCAGAAATTTAAAAGAAATACTCAAGAAGGCGTTTTGCTTCAATCTATTCTGTGTAATGTTTTATTGCATTGATAATGTTTCTGTTGAAGAAACCGTTATACTTGAATTCAGGTCAGTTTCAGTATTTTTCAAATATTTTTTTAAAACTGAATTGCAATCGTGCCAAGCGAATATAATGAATTGAATTAAGTTTGTTTTTGAATCCACTTCTTGTATATTTTGCTGCATGTAAAGTAAATCATTTTGTATTTGGAGTGTAACCAGCTTTACCTTTGAACTCTTAAGTGCTTTTCTATATGTGGTGGGGGAAAGGGAAAGATTTTTCTTTAATTTGTACAATGAGCAAAGTTACCATGCCAGTGTAAGTCATTATCCTACCATCCACAAACAGGTTTGAATACCACTGTTTTGCATATCTTGTGTTTGCTTACATTTCCCTCAGTTTTTTCCAAAATCATGTAATAGGTCTATTCATACCACATCTCGCTTTAAGTGACCAGGACATTCTGTATTTATTCTGGTCTTCACTCTTTCCACTCCGCTCCAGTTATCTGCTTTGGTATTTTCTCCAAGAACAGCCCAACCCTGCACCATGAGGTATAATGAGACATTCATGGTGTCACCATTCCCCAGGGAAGGGGTGGTTGACTTTCCTGTTCTCTCCCACAGCACAAACTTTCCTCACTGGGTTCCTCAGTAAAGTGGACACTGACTGAGACCATGAAATTTGGGGCAGACGGGTTGGAGGAGAACAGAATCTTTACTTCTGGCAACTGCTCACCTCAAATTCAGATGTCAGGAGCTAGAGAAAGGCAATCTGATAAACCTTTGTCCATCCAAAACTCACCTCTTGGTCTGACTCATGTCTCCATCCTTTCCTCGCTTGAGCACAGTTTCCTCTAGACCAACCCTTACCGTGTGTGTGACAGCCATGGGAGAAAAGGGCCAGGACTGGGGAGAAAGCATTTGAGTTTGCAGTGATGGTGGAAATGTACTTTGTACCCTTGACCTATCTAGAACATCACACTATTGATGCTGACTTTCAAATCTGTTTTGATAATGGTGGTTGAAAAGGGCTAATTGAGGGAGAGTAGGACCCAATCATTCACCGAGAAATGACTCATTGAATCTCCTCTGGTTCCAGTGTTCCCTTGGACCCTAGAGAAGCCATTGGCACTTATACGAGCAAGCTAAAAACTAAAATAGAGAAAAATCCCATTCCTCATTGAAAGTGAGTTATACTTTCATGGAATGACTCATGGAAAAAGAGAAATGTGCTGGATAATCCCAGGTTAACTAAGAGTCTTGTTTGTCCAAACCGAACCCAGCCAGATTTTCTTGGTTTCTTTTCAGTTGTATCAAAGTCTTCTAGAAATTAAGTTTCAGCACAATCCACTGTCTGGAAGTTCTTAAAAGTTCTGTCACTGCCCTGCTAAGATTTAATTTATTCATTGAAAGTGGGCCCTTTTGATTTACCTGATTCTTACTGTACATTTGGCCCATATACAAATGTGGGCTCTTGAATGACTACACACACACTTTTCATTATGGCCTTCTGTTTTCCTTTTGAACCTTTCATCTTCATCACCGAGTCTTATCAGCTGGTGGTGCGGACTGCAAGATGGGTTTATGCCAGCTACTCCCAGGGCATGGCCCATATATTGATCCCTAGGCCTTCACTACACGTTACCCACTTGTTGCTGTTAAGTGCCGCCTCATAGCTACCCTATATAGGGTTTCCGAGGCTGTAAATCTTTATAGGAGCAGAAACCCTCAGAAAACCTTCTCCCATGAAACAGCCGGTAGTTTCAAACTGCTGCCCTTGAGGTTAGCAGCCCAACTCGTAACCACTGCGCTACCAGAGCTCCTTAAACAGTAGCAGTACACATGTGAACAAAGCCTACAGCACCTGGTATTCCAAGGCGGTCTCCCATCCAAGTACTAACCAGGTCCAACCCTGCTTAGCTTCAGAGATCAGATGGGATCGGGTACCTACAGGGTGGTCTGGTATAAGGTTTACAAGGCTGGAAATCTTTGCAGGAGCAGAAAGCCTCACTTTTCTCCTGAAGAGCAGCTGGTGGGCTCGAACTGCCGACCTTGTGGTTCACAATCCAGATGCTCCACTCACACCTATCGGCTCCCTGATTTATAGTCAACACTCTGCAGAAAATCAGAGTAGCCCTCCTTTCTGTGCCCTACAATAATGATGCCAGCAGTAGTAACAAGAGACACCTTGCCTCATGCTGCTATAGAGGGAAGTAGGCTAGGATAGAAGTTCCCTTTTTAGGGAAATAGGTCTACCTTAGCCTGGCCTTAGGATCAGGTAGTGTACAGCTGGCATGTGATACCTGTAGACACCACATGGATAGTCAGCAACACTTGTAAGTACTGTAGACAGAGATCATGGATTTCACTACTGATCTTTCAAGGGAAACCCCTGACCTCCCTCTACAGTGTACTAAGTGATGTTGACTGCCCATCTAAAATAGAATTTCCCCCATGGCCTTGTGAAATCTTCTGTAGCCCTCCCAACACCACCAGAGTAGCAAGAGGAATCAGCCGATGGCTATGGACCAACAACTTGAAATAGGGTGCTTTAGGTCCTGGGCCTGGTAAACTACATTTTTATTTGACCTTTGATGACTAGTCCTGCCTCTGTTTCCACATCTTGTTGTTCAAATAATTATCCATATGCACGACTGCTCTAAGCAGAAATATATCCTTTTGTTAAACAGAGAGATCTGTCTTTATGTCTGTCCTAGAAGATTTTATGTGTCTCAAGGCTAGATTTTGGCTTGATTCGTGAATTTCCCCCTGCTTTGATGTCAGAAATCACCCTTTCCCCCATTGTCTCAATCTGATGGAAATCGCACGACACAGGAACAAGACATCTCTGTTCTGTTTATCCTCCTGTCTCTCTAGTTCCAAATGCCAGGTGCCTGTCTGGGCTGACGCTGTCTAGCACATCCTCACAGCTAGTCTCCTTTCAGAACCTATCCTAACTATTCATTTGAAGATAGCAGAACAGCCACAGTAGAAACATGCTGTTCTGTGCCAAAATGAGTATCTTTTTGAGAAAAAAAAAGTTTTAGACATCATCCAAAGGATGAGAGTGATTTTCTGAGAGACCAGTTGATACACCCCTATCACCCATTGCTAGGTGCCCTCGAGTTGATTCTGATTCTTGATAACCCCATGAGTGCAGAGTAGGACGGATCCACAGGATTCTCAAGGCTGTGACCTTTTAGAAGCAGATCATCATGTGTTTATTCTGAGGCACCTCTGGGTGAGTTCGAACTGACAGCCTTTCAGCTCATAGTTGAGCTCTTAGCCATCTGTGCCATCCAGACACTACTCCATC